AACACCGACCACCCTCCTGACTCATTAACTACAAAGGGAACCGTCAATTGAGCACTCTCTCTTCGTATAGTTGAACGCCACGTGGAAGAGAAAAAGGCGGCCACGTTGTTTGCACGAAAGGAGGCAGCGGGACTTGGTCGTCGAGTGTCTGAGAAAATAGAAAAAAGAAAATAGGACACTCGACTTCCCCGAACACCGCTGAGACTATACGAATGCCTGCTTCCTTTTGTCGAACAGCTAGGAGAGGGCCATTCGGTAGTTTGGTTCACATGAACCAGGGGACAATCGCTCCTATGAGTCAGGAGGCTCCATTCGTGTGTTCATTCAATTTTTTACTTTTTTTAAATTGACCGACCGCACATGCTGAATTCATGGAACTGTTTTGGGCAGCAGCCTCGTGTGCGGTCGGTGAACCAAGACTTCCATACATTTCAAAAACCCCTGAACCGATCTGGGTGAAATTTTAATATGTTGGTCTTCCAGATCGGGGCTATCAGGGGATATGCCATTTGGGGGTTATACCATGCATTTTAAGGGGTGTTCCAAGTTTTGGGGAAAATGTGTTCTCTTTGCCTGGAGATAATTGGATTATCCCTTAGCTTACCTAATTATCTCACAGGCAGAGAGGAGGAGATTTTATGTTTGCAATGGGAATGTTTAACTGTAACAAAGTAATAGGATTGGTTGTCGCTTTTGTGTACTGTGGGAGGTCCCATGCATGGGGACTTGCATTAAAGCCAGTGTGGCATCAATAAAACATTATTCCTGAAGTCTAGGCTCATGTTTGGGTAACTCTTTATTGGCTGGGGAGATTCGTCTTGGAAGCTGCATTCATCTGAACTATTCATCTCTACACCCAAGCTGCAGCTATAATCACTAAGGCTTAGCTATTGGGAAAGAATAGGCGAACCAGGTACTATAACTACTGACGTTCGTAACAGGTGTCATTAAAGAATGTTTTATGAAGTTGCATCTGTTTTTTTTTTATATATATATATATATATATATATATATATATATATATATTTGTAACTTTGCAGCCACTGTTATGTAAATTGATTTCACTTTGTCACTTAAAAGGAATGTATGGACGATTTTACTTTATTTTTTATAATGGAGGCATGGATAACAATATAATTTGTATATATAGTTTCAAGAAACAATTAAACCATTCACTTGAATCCAATGGATCTAGCTAATCAATGTAATCATCTTCATACATATACATCAGGATACACACCTCACAAATCTTCTTAAAGGAACTCTGTAAGGACCATAACCACTTCAGTGTGCAGGAGTGTCCTGGTGCCCCTCCAACTTAAGTAATCAAACCATGCTAAAACGTCAGCTGATACTCTCAGCCAATGAGCTGGACTTGCAGTGCAGGGGGTAGCTCAAAACAGAAACTCCTAGCAGAGCTGATGCGTAGAGATGGGAAGAAGCACCAGGTAAGAAGTCAAACCATTCTAAAATGGTTTTACTACTTATGTTGGGGGATGCCATGGTTACAGTGTTTGGAGTGTTCATTTAATACACAAATATCAGGGGACATACCTCTAGGTGATCCCAAAACACTGACATATCCACTCCCGATAAACATGCTTTACTAGTGTAGCATATATACGAAAAAGACATCATGTTAAATTATGTAGGAGTTCAACAGTTTTGCAGCCTGGGGGTGAATCCAGTGAAGTGTGAGAACCATTATCAGTATTAACAGCAATTCACCTGATTGTCTATTAAGGATCAATATTAGTCTCTGCAGGACATGAGTGAGATGTTGTATTGAGCTGTCATCACAAATACACTGGAAAGCCCTAGAGAGAAACTGACCCAGGAGATTAAATGCGAAAACACAGAATAACCCAGCAGTTAAAGAACATCAGTCCTTCCCAGTCTCTCTCTTTAATACTTATCTTAAAACCTAAGGCCCTCTTAGAACATTGGTGTTAAACATTCCATTACAGTGTTCTTCTACCTGTCTGACATTGGCTGCATTCTACAGCTGACATTTTCTGTCTGACCCCACTGGCTCTGTGCACAGCAATGAGCCAATATTGTTATGCATTAATTACATAATACATAATATTTCAAATAAATAAAACAAATTAAAATACCCCCTGCCAAGATTCTGCAGCTGCCCAGCTTAGAGAATCTTATAACCACCTCGGTCATATACCCTCCCTCACCAGGAAGAGACTCCACCAATTAGGGGCCCCTCATTATGGCTCATAAACCTCTGTCTAGCAGCAACTTTGAGTTATCCTTTAACTCCTTAATGACTTAATCTACATCTTGGTCACTTTTGCACTTAGTGACTCACATACAGTTGCAAGAAAAAGTATGTGAACCCTTTGGAATGATATGGATTTCTGCACAAATTGGTCATAAAATGTGATCTGATCATCATCTAAGTCACAACAATAGACAATCACAGTCTGCTTAAACTAATAACACACAAAGAATGAAATGTTGCCATGTTTTTATTGAACACACCATGTAAACATTTACAGGTGCACGGCAACACAATCGACTCACGAACACTGCAGGTCTGGTGTGCCACATCATGGCGGACGCCACATGCCAGCCAGAACAAAGATCCTCACTGCCACCACTGTCGGAGTGGCTGGACCGCCTGCTAGCTGCTTTCTGGGCAAAGCTCTCCGCTCCAGCAGAGACACAAGCAGCAACAACCCCACAGGTCACCAAGCTACAACCCACGGCTCTAGGAGGGGGCCAAACTAAAGCCTGGAAGGCTGGGAGGAGAAGGCGGGAAATCCGACGCAAGCCTCAACGGGTCAGCAACAGACCACCAGCAGTGAGTCACCCAAATAAAAGGCGACATACCCTAGGTCTGCCCGCTTACACCCTCCCTTCCCCCAAAGTGATCACTACCCCTCCCAAGTGAAGAAACCTCGACGGAGACCTACAGACCACCAGACACAACTCAGCCCAGGGCCGCTGCTCAAAAGTGAAGGGGCGCGAGGGGGGATCTCCTTACCAAACTGCCCTGACAGAGGATCCAGCCACCACCAGCTTCACAACCCCCGCCAGAGACGACAAGCCCACGACAGGTTTAATACAAATCAGGGGACTCTAGCCACCATACCCCCAGACTCCATCCCGGCTGAGAACTGGAAGAGCACCAAATGGGGGGACCACTGCCTTACTACAACTATCACAGACTCGGATAGGGGCTGGAGATGGAGACATACCACACGCTCAGAATGCAGCAGGGCTGCCCCAGATAAATCCCGCAACCAACCACCAGCAGGGCCCAGACAGGGAATCGGGTGAAGAACCTCAAAGCAAGGGACAGCCGGATTAATGGATGCCGACCGCAAGCTACCACAGCCGATGACTAGTAAATATAAAACTGGACAATAACAATAGAAAATGTTTAGCTTTCACCATGTCTGTATCATCTTTTCTTCCCTACTTGCACAGTTCAGCATTTAGACATGAATATATAGCCTGACAGGAGTGAATTGTTTCACTTTAATAAGCATCAATGTGACCATAGCTCACGTTTTATACATGCACCTACGTTTAAATGTATTAATCATCATTGATATTACCTACATAGGCCTGCCTAGCTTATGTTTTCAATAGATGCACTCTCTTGCTTTGTTTCTTATAATATGTTCAATTTTATGGTAGCATGACTTATACTCTTTTACACAAAGCACACAGTGGCATACTCAGCCTAATTTAACTATAATGGCCAGCATGTAATGACTTGTGTGTAGGTAGTGGTTATTGTGCGGTGCGAACCAATGCAATCAAAATTACGTTTTCCCGTTTTCCCCCAATTAAAACCAAGAGACATAAATGTGGTATAAAACAGGCCACAGCTTTATTTATAATAACAAGCATAAATAAATCAACCAATATTTTACTTGAAAATTTGTCCTTGCCAACCGAACCATAATAACTCTAGAGTACCCCCTACCAGGGTACCTGCCCTCCCCCCTCGTCCAAGATAACTGGCCTTTTACCTTGGCCTTCCAATTCCCCATGCCAACCCCTGGCCGCCTTTTACTGGCACGGGGGACACGCCCAACTACCAAAAACTCTCCGAGGTTAGGGGAGGGACCAGACCCAGCATTCCTTCTTCCGGTGTACTCGTTTTCCAACTGGTTTGGCAAGGACCATACCCGCCACTAGCGCCTGCTGCATTTAAGCCTAAATCAGCGGGCGCGACTCCCCACAACCGCCATGGCCTGCTCTAACGCGTCCTGCAGCGCCAGATTAAATAAATCTAAACCCACATCCGTGAGATGAACCCCGTCTGGGCGAAAATAGATCGCCGCTTCCTTTTCGAATATCCGGTGTCGCACTGTGACACCCCCAACCCCGAGTATGAATTTGGACACCCTCTTGTTGATCTTCACCCTGCAGCGCTCAATCGCCCCCTGATCCCTCGCGCGGCGCCAATAGTTCCTAGATACTATACCTGACCAGACTAAGCAAAGCTGCGGGAAAAGGACTAGCAAGCGCGCCAAATCCCGTCTAATGAGCTCACTAAGCCCCCAAGCAGGCAGCGCCCCAAGATCATTTCCCCCCAGATGTATCACCAATACATCAGGGGCCCCCAACAATGTAGCCAACTGTAACACCTCCGGCAAGAGCTGGCCCCAGCGCATGCCCCGAAAACCGAACCATCGGACCTCAGCAAGCTCCCGGGGAATTCCAAGTCGCGTCCCACCCGGGCGTACCCCTGCCCGCAGGTGGGCCCAGTAGATATATGAATGCCCAATCAGCCAGATCCGTCGGCCGGACCCTGCGGAGAAAACACAAGGGGGGCACCCATCAGACGCGTGGGCCGGATATAAGAACGAATCCTCCCAGATTCCCACCTCCCAATCCTCTGAATCACTTGATCAGAGAAACCCAACCGAGAGGCTTCTGTAGCTGCCCCAATCCGGAAGGAATGACCCCCAAATTCACCACTCGGGATTCCCAGCTTGTCGAGCGCCAACCGAAATACTCTGAGGAATTGAAAGCGAGACAGGTAAGTACCATCCTCGTGCATTAACAACGGACCCGCAAGATTCGGGCGTATGGAGCAGTAGGACTGATACGCAGAGGCTGGGCAAACAGACGAATTAGGGATGGTGCGAAGGGTAACCCAGCGACCTTTCCCAACAACGTCAGTTTTTGACCGTCGTATCAAGAAACGCACCGCACCATCCAAGAGGAACACATCGTGAAATAACAAGCCCCCCGGAGTCCCCTTGCTCGGGCTGATTAGTTCCCCAATCCGGAGGGCCCCAAAAAAGACAAAAATGAAGGCCAAACGAAATAAACTAGCTTCATAAGCGGAATAACATATCTGCGGCAGCACTGAGGCAATTCCTAGCAGCAGCGCCCCCGAAACCGGCCTACGAGAATCCTGCCCACGAGGGCCCCTACGCCAACCACACATCGCAAGCTTAATCATGAAATCTTTTGTGACATCCGGCACCCGAGTTAGGTTAAACCAGAAACTAAGACCGGAAAGCTTCCCTGAAACAGTAGTCGGGGAACACCCGCAAACCTCCCAAAACCAAAGCAAACGTAACAAACCTTGAACCCGTTCTGCCGAGGATGTGTAACCCCCGCAATCCTGTTCAAGAGCAACCCATTCCCCCCAAGCCTTACCATACCGGACCCATGTCGCCTCAGACACCGAGGACCGTATCCATTCCCTTATCCGCTCAGGCCAAGGGACCATAGTTCTCTGGGACAGGGGAGGCCTTCCAAGTCTGCTCCCGGAGCGGCTTTCCGAAACACCTGCCATTGAAAGCGAGAAAGAGAGTCAGCCGTAGTATTCATGACCCCGGGAATATGCACAGCGTGGCACGTTATGTTCAGAGACAAGCATTGCAAAACCAGTTGTCGCAATAGCCTAACCACTGGAGGGGAAGAGGCCGTCAGGTTATTGATGGCCTGAACAACGCCCAGGTTATCACAGTGGAAGACGACACGCCTGTCTTTGAGCTCCGTACCCCATAGGTGAACAGCCACCAAGATGGGGAAGAGCTCCAAGAACGCCATGTTCTTGGTAAGGCCTGAATCGACCCAAGATACAGGCCAAGGTTCCGCGCACCAATGAGACCCCAGAATAGCCCCAAAACCCGAGGAACCCGCAGCATCTGTAAACAAGTGAAGCGCTGCATTCAAAACTTCTGGCTGCTGCCAATAAGACCTCCCATTGTAAGTTTCAAGGAAAACAGCCCAGACTACCAGATCCTCCCTGAGCGCCTTAGTTAAGCGGATGAAATGGGGAAGGGCTTCGAGATTCCAGACGTGGCGGCCGCCAGGCGCCTGTTGAATACTCTGCCCATAGGCATGATCCGGCAGGCAAAGTTCAGCTTGCCTAAGAGGGATTGAAGGCGTCGGAGAGTGATCTTTCGCAAGGAGCCCGCCTCCCGCACAGACCCCAGTAGATCTACCAATTTGTCCACCGGGAGCCGACATTCCCCGATAACTGAATCAATCTCAATTCCAAGAAAACACAGGCACGTGGAAGGGCCTACTGTTTTGTCGGGCGCCAGTGGCACACCAAACCCAGAGGCCACATCCGCCACCGACTGCAAAATATGTGCCCAGATTGAGGAATGCGCGGGACCAACACACAAAAAGTCGTCTAGGTAGTGAAGGAGGGAGCTGTGACCAGACTCCGTTCTCACCACCCATTCAAGAAAGGAGCTAAAACATTCGAAATAGAAGCAGGATATCGCACAGCCCATCGGGAGGCACATGTCCCTCAAAGTAACAACCTAAGAGATGATGACACCCCGGGTGAACCGGCAAGAGGCGAAAAACAGACTCAATGTCTGCTTTTGCCATGAGTGCCCCTGATCCGGCAGCCCTGACCATACAAACCGCATCATCAAATGAGGCGTAGGAAACACGACATAATTCCGATTCAATGTCATCATTTACAGAACTCCCATGGGGGTACGATAAATGATGAATGAGCCGAAATTTTCCCTGTTCTCTCTTGGGTACGACGCCTAATGGCGACACCCGGAGATCAGGGAGAGGAGATTCCCGAAAAGGGCCTGCCATACGCCCCAAAGCCACTTCCTTGGCCAACTTGTCCCTGACCACCCCAGGGTGGTCATAGACCGAACGCAAGTTCCGGCATACATTTGACGCCGGTCGAGGTTGGTGGGGAATCCAAAAGCCAAACGTAAAACCTTCCAGGAGTAAGGCGGCCGCCTTTTTGTTTCTATAATGTCCTCGCCTTTAGAGCCCATGGCGTCACCCTTGTCGCCAGGCCTGCCCCGCTTAAAGCATTTGGAGGCGGGGTGCGATCTGCCACACCCAGAGCACTCGTGCTTGAAACGACAACCTGCGCCGAATTTACATTGCCCGTCGTTATACTGCCAGCAACAGCCCGTTCGTCGTTGATTGGCCGACACAGTGGTCGAGGACCCTGCGCCGGCCCCCCCAAGAAAGGACGAGAGGCCCCCTTGATGCGACGCCGGGCGGGTCATGATGGCCAACCACAAGCTGATGTCCATCTGGTCCCAACTCAACGATGGGCGGACCGCTATGCGTTGGCGGAACTGCTCATCATAGCGCCACCAGCCTAACCCGCCATAGGTCCGGCACGCGTTCCATATCGTATCCTGGTAGCAAAAAAGGGATGAGCATTTATTGGGGGACTTCTCACCTATCACACTCGCCAGGATCGAAAAAGCCCTAATCCAATTACCGAAAGTTTTAGGTATCTTCCGATACCTAAACTTCTCCTTCTCCTTTTCGGAGTCTTTTGCCGCAGGATCAACCCGAGGCAGATCCTCCATAGGGAGCAAGGAAAAAATTTCAACGAATTCCCCTTTTTCTATCTTGGTGCGCAATTCCGGAGTCAAATGGAGACCTAGAGGGCCTGACCAGCACATGTAAGCCGCCCCATGCGCAGCGGGGGCGACCCCTGACCCCGAAAACGCAGTGGCGTCATCTGAAGATCCCTTGGATGGCTCAAGTTCCGCCACTGGAGGAACTGGCACCACAGGGCCACTGGGCCCTGCGGGTGCAGCAGAGGGACCTGAGACCACTCCTGAAAGGTCAGAACCACCAGCAGCTGCCCAACCCGACCTCAGCTGATCATCGAGGGCTAAAGGGGGCTGGAGCCCAGGGCGATGACCCTTCTCCAAAGACTGTAAAAATTGTCTCATGGTTTGTATTAAAGCATCCCATTCAGGTAGGACCCTTGCACCAAGACCCCTTAAAGCACCCCCCGATAAAGCAGCGTACTCACCAGCGGCAATGGAATGTGACGGCAGCTGCGGCGACCCCATAACCTGGTCCCCAGGTTGCAGCGGACCCACGGGAGCTGTAACCGCAGAAGGGACTGCACCAGCGCCAGCGTCAGAGAAACGCACCCGACCAGGGACCATCTGTGAAGAAAGCAGAGGTGAAAAGGAACCCAACCCTCCCACACACGCCGTAAAAGTACCTGGAGAGGAGGATGGCACACCAACAGGCGTAGGGCCAGGAAGAGTGGAATGGGACCCATCAAGGAGGGTACCAGGAGCGGGCCCGGGATGATGGGGAGGGGGGGCAGGTAAACCATGATGGGCCCCCACCCTGAGAGGGCCCGCTGATGGGGCAGACAGTGGGCCAAGAGCAGGTCCAGGAGTACCAGAAAGGGGGGCAGACACCAGGGGGGCAGGTGAGGGGGAGGGGAGGAGTGATGGGGCAGAGACAGTGGAAAGGGGGGAAGTGCCAACCCCAGAGGGACCCACTGTAGGTGGAGGGGCATTAGAATAGGTGCCAGGAGCAGGCCCTGGGGAGGCAGGGAAGGAGGGCACAGCAGGAGGGGAGCTGCTGTGGGGGTGAGGTGATCCCGCTGCCTTCCCACGGCCCCTTTAACCCCCCCGGAAACAACCCTGCCGACCTGCGGCCTACTCACCCGACCGGAGGAGTGGGTTAGCAACCCACGGGTCACCGGAGCCGCAATCTGTGAAGATCTCGTCGCAGGAGTCCTCCCGAACGCCGGTCTCGCAGCCGCCCTCCGCAAAGCCCGCGAGACCGGCGGGGGAGATGTGTGGGAGGCAGCGTGGGCCGCATCCGACCGCCGCGCGGCCCCCTGCTCGGGGAGGAAGTGCCAGGAGTGGGAGAGACCTCGGCGGCCGCGGCCACCTGGGAACTGGCGCGCGGCCCGGCCACAGGGCTCCGGCTCCTGCCCCTCACCCGACCCTCCCGCGATGGGCTATACCGGGTGGGGGGGCGTGCACGGCGGCGCTGAACGCTGGGGCTGGAGACAGAGGGAGCAGCCGACCCAGAAACACCCTGCAGCCGCGCCAACTGTGTCTGCAGGTGACGTCCCCCATCCTGAAGGGCCTCAGCCCTGAGAGCAGACAAAATGGATTCTATGTCCATGCCCTGGCCGTGAGACAAGCAGTGGTAACAGGCAACAGGAGGAAGATGTTACCAGCCGTTATTTTAAGATGGCTGAGGTAAGGGACAAAATGACTGCCCTTTTATATGACCCCACCCCACCCCTAACCTAAGTGACACCCCCCACATGTGACACCTACACCCACCACACCCACACATGCCTCCTATCCGGCTAGCTTTTCAGCCCGCCTCCTCTGGGCCTTACTTGCAAAAGCGCCTGTTAATTTTCATGTATGACTAAATAATAACAAAAATGTGCATGTCTCTCATATACCCCTATGTAATATATAAATGTGGAACGCTAGAGGATTGCCTTTGGGGTACCTCACAAGCGAATGTTATATGTCTGTGCACAACAAAAAAACATTTAAAAAAAAAAAGTCTCACGAGTACAGGTTTTATGGGTTTTTGGAAACTTACAGGGGTCAAATATAGGGATTTCCCCTTTTCCATGTTTGCACATTGAAATTTGCCAGATTGGTTTGCTGAGGCTATGTTGCCTTTGAGACCGTACAGCAGCCCAGGAATGAAAATTAACCCCATCATTGCATACCATGTGTAAAGGTAGACAGCCCAAGGTATTCAAAATGGGGTATGTCTAGTCTTTTTTAGTAGCCACTTAGTCACAAACCCTGGCCAAAGTTAGCGTTCATATTTGTTTTTTTTTGCATTTTTCACAAATAAACTGCCCTTTCACCGATGATATAAGTACAATACATTTTACTGCTCTAAAACACTCATAGTTGTGTAGAGTAATGTCTCACGAGTACAACAGTACCCCTCTTGTACAGGTTTTATGGTGTTTTGGAAAGATACAAAGTCAAATATAAGATTTGCCAATTTCTGTTTTTGCAAATTGAAATTTGCCAGATTGGCTATGATGCCTTTGAGATGGGAAGGCAGCCCAGAAATGAAAATTAACCCCACCATGGCATACCATTTGA